TAAATCTTTACGGGAGCTCCTTCCATAAAGATTACACCTTAGAAAACCCTGTGGGGCAGCTCTACTCTCACATATAGGCGCTCATGAGTCAAAATCAGCTCAGTGGTGCATAATACATATGTAAACCAATACAAAGTAAGTAGGAATGTCTCCCTCCATAGTAAGCCAAAATAATAAAGCTGAACAAATAACTAATGATTCAATTTTGGAAAATTTTCTTGAAATAAAAGAAAATATTGAATCTCAGACAAAAATCACACATTATATGCTGGGAAAAAATGATAATAGAACGGCTCACAATAAGAACTATCTTTCTAAAGTTACAGGATTTACAAGTTAAAGGAATCCTTTGGGTAACTAGGATCAGATGACTTGCAAGGGGAGAAATTGCAGGTTCACTTCAGACACAGCGGCATTCATTCTCACAGGCAGTAGACACTGTGGCAGACTGTTGAGCTTCACAACTGATCAAAGAAACATACTAAATAAGAAAATAAAATTGTAGCCTAGTTGGTAAGTTAAAAAAAAAAATGTCATGCATTATAGGTTTTGGAGGAAGAAATCCTGAGACATTGTGTGGGACAATCAATTGACTCATTCCTTATAGAGGGTAAAAAAGCATGCTAACAAAATCCTCTAATTGTTTATCTTCTTTTTGTCTGGTCATTTCCAGATGAAATTAAATTGTAAGAATTTATCTTAAGAAAAGAATTATTTATACATAAGAATGATTTGGGGTCAATTATATAGATAGGTGGAGTCCTGGTATGGCACTGTTGAATAAGCACTGGACTGCTAATCTCAAGGTCAGCAGATCAAACCCACTAGTGGCTGTTTGGAAATCCTATACAGGGTTGCTATGAGTTGGAATTGACTCCACAGCACTTCACAACAACAAGATGTAGCACAATACAATGAAAACCATGAACACAATGGAACTAGCAATCAGAGGGAAATCATTTTAGCCTCCAGAAAGGTAATTCATAAGAAAGGGAAGGAAGAGCACCAGCTTACAGACACCTGTATGTACGGCACTAGAGTAAGCACTCAATAACTCTATTTTACAGATGAAGAGAATGAAGTTCAGAAAAACGAAATAAATTGTCCAATGACACCCAACTTGTCGTTGAAGAAATATAATATGGGTTCTAATTTTAGATTTGAAAACATACACTCCTTTTATGCCACACAGAAAGCTCTGTTGTCAGTATGTGACAAGCACAAATAACATGGAGACTAGCGTCTAGAATTGAACTCTGTTTTTTTTTTTTTTTTAAGTGTTTTATTGTGAATTATATGATAGTTTACATGGGAGAACATTAGTTTTACATTCATTCTATCGTACATCGTATCATTGCCATGGTTACAATCCCTCCATGCATCGTATCATTGCCATGGTTAAAATCTCTCCATGCATCATCAACCGACCAAAGAGTAT